GGAGAGCTGTCAGAGAATGTAGTGTGGATGGTGGAGGAGAGCTGTCAGAGAATGTAGTGTGGATGGTGGGGGGAGAGCTGTCAGAGAATGTAGTGTGGATGGTGGAGGAGAGCTTCAAGAGATCATGGTATGGATAGGGGAGGGGGGAGCTGCGGTAGAACATATGGTGGGAGCTCCCAGAGAATGTAGTACAGACATGGGGGGAAATCAGTGACAACACAGGGGTGCAGACAGAAATGAGTGATGCTGAACTGCTGAGGGAACAAAGTGGGGGGGGTTAATGGAGACTCTGATGATAAAAGAACGTCTCTATCAGGGTGTGGCTACTTCAGAAGGAACGACTTTTCATTGTTGCATTGTAGAACTTTGGAAGAGACTGGATCTGATAAGATCGGCATTTCCTTTCCTATTACATTCATTCCTGGTGAAAAGTTTCCCGGCAGTGTGAGGAAAAGTTACAATCTGTGGTATAAATGAGTCTCGTGTATATTGGGAAATATTTTGAAACATTGTCTAAAATGTATATATTTGAACTATGAATGTGTGTACTTTATAAACTTGTGCATCATTTTTTAATTGGCCTTCACATTTTTTTGTGCTCTCCTAATTATAACCATTAAAACGTTGTCAACGTGATGGCATTTTTTTTCGCTCACGTGTTTTTATATAAAGGAACAGGCAAAGAAATTACACAGATACTCGAAATACACTTGATAGAACTACGGAGTGAGGCAACAAAGAGATCCAATAACGTGATGAAGTGCTACATCCCAAATACACACATTATGAGGGACCCGTACGTCCCCAAGTATTCATGGAACAATATAAGTGACACCTGAATCATAGCAAACTGCCCACGTCCACTAAGAGGCAGACCAGGCAAGGAGCAATAAACCAAAACTAAGAAGAGAGAATAGGAAAATGTATCGGAGAAAAGGAGAATATGTGGAAAACCGAGAAGAAGGAAACTGAATAGAAGAGAGATAAAAGGGGAGAGGGAGAGCCGCCTTCCACAGATGAGAAGAAAGGGGACAGAGGAAGCCAGGAACACGAAAGGTCCAGAACACATCCAAGGGGGGTAAACCCTCAAATAGGGAGATAGCACGCAGCACCAACCAGCCCAATACAGATCAGGAAACTAGAGAGTTCAGGAATCCATAATAAAGGAGGCGACAATCCAAGGAGTCCATGTCTTATATGTAGAGAAGCTTTATGTCTAGCAGTAAGCTTCTCATAGAACATGACCGGAGACACCAGAGCTTTCACACTGGCAGAGGGGAGAGACGGAGATTTCCAGGCCCAAGCCTGTCCTCTCCTGGCCGCTGTAAGTGTATGTGTTACCGGTCTATATTGGGTAAGTGTACAAACCTCAGGCATTGTATTCAGTAGAGTCTCAGAGAGATCATTACAGAAGGAGGTGTAACATACTTACTTCTCCACCATCCGGTTCTGGGTTTGTAGGGAGGAAATTCCAAGTTGGAAAGACGTGAACAGAACCCCCCTCCCCCACATTCCTCCATTACTTCTGTCACTAATCTATAATAAGATGCAGACTTCAGTAACTGACAGAAGGAGCTGAGAAGAGCCTCACAGCCAATCAGAGTCCACGCTTCACATCTCCAATGTCATTTGCTGCATTGCCTCCACAGGAACCAATCACAGGGCAGGATCAGAGTCACCAGGCAGATTCTGCTTTCCACAGAGATTTTCCTCAGATTTCACACCTCCTCCACTGTCATTGGCTGCACTCCCTCCATAGTAACATATCACAGGGTGGGATCAGAGTCACTGGGCAGATTCTGCTCTCCACAAAGATTTACCTCAGACCTCACTACAGACACCCCCTATTATTATCCATTTATATATCACTGACATATACCACAGTGCTGTACAGAGAACACTGAGCCAGTCACATCAGTCTCTGCAAAGAGGAGCTTACACTTGAATGTGCCCCCACCGTCATATACATTTATATAGCTCTGACATATACCGCAGTGCTGTACAGAGAACAGTGAGCCAGTCACATAGTTTAACGTGGAGAGACATTGGAGTGTAAGCTCTTCTGTACAGAGACTGATGTGACTGGCTAGTGTTCTCGGTACACCACTGCAGTATATGTCAGTGATATATATATGTATAATAATAGGGGGGGGCTGTGGGGGGACATTAGAGTGTAAGCTCCTCTGTACAGAGACTGATGTGACTGGCTCAGTGCTCCCTGAGGTATAATCTGTGTGTAGTCATGGATGTAATAGAGGAATGGACCAAAAGGCAGCGAGCACAATGATGAAACATAACGGAGACTGTAGTATTTATATTCATCACAAGGTGGCGATCTCACGTGGTAGCCACCTACAGGAAGTGATGTAAGATACAGTCAGGAAGTGATACAAGGTACAGAAAGGAAATTATGTAGACCTGGAAACAGGAAGTGATGTCGATATATATACACAGGAAGTGATATAGGGTATACACAGGAAGTGATGGAGGTGTGAAGCATGAGTTTGGAGGTATGGGTACTGGGGGACAGTGTCCAAAATCTCAGAACTATCCTACAAGATCTGACACTCTGAGCAATTCAGCATTTGTCTACAGAGAGTCTTCTTTAGATCATGTGACTATTTGATTTCTAAAATACAGATCAGGAGGATTCTGGGAAGTCTGCATTGATAATTGTTACCTTCTCTCTTCAAACAGGATTACAGGATAGTGACCAATATATCTTGTGAGCCATTAACACTCAGCAAGTGTCTTCAGCAGACATCACACATCACCCATCACAGAGCCTTCACCTCACCGCCTGACAACAAAGGCAAACCGTGATAAAATATTCTAGATGTTTCCAGTATCTAGAAGGACACCGGGATCTCTACAAGGACGTCGTGATGGAGAATGAGCCGCCCCTCACATTACCGGGTAAGAGGAGAGAGCAGTACGGAGGGTCCACCTAGATCCCCCATCATCTGATACACACATAGAAACAATGTATTCAGTCAGTGTGTGTGTTTCCTACAGATGGATCCAGTAAGAGGAACCCACCAGAGAGATGTCCCCGTCCTCTGTATTCCCGGGATTCCACACAGGAAGATCTCACCGTCTCACATAAGGTGAAATAGAGAAATAATAGATAATAGGGGATAGATTTTGGCACGTCCCGAATCGTTGTTTTATTTCATCTGATCCCATTGTCCTCAATATTCAGGTTATACACCAGAGTGAGTGTGATAATGATGTTAAAGAAGAGATAAAAGAGGAGGAGAAGATTATGATGGAACCATTCAGTGACACAAACCCACCAGAGAGATGTCCCCGTCCTCCGTATTCCCGGGACTCCACACAAGAAGATCAGAACATCCCTCACCATGATCAGGTAGGTGAGACTCGCTATGTATAAACACAGAACTGATTCTGCAATATTCATTTATGTAGGCCATTAGTTTCATGTTTCCTTTACTCCATTTCATCTTCCCCTTGGAGAACCTCCCACTTTTATTGTTTTCTATAAATCAATAAACATACTTTTCTTCCACGGGTCGTGAGCCCAGTCATGTGGCATCATGGATCCTCTTCGTCCTTGTGTCCTCCAAAGGGCACATACTAAATGATGTGGTGCTGTCGTTTGCTTCTGTGAGTCGAGGCCGGTGTGATGATGGGCCTCCAAGGTTAAGATCCCTGGCCCCCCAGGCTCATGGAAAATGGGTAGAAGACCTGCCCTGAAATGACTTTTTTTGTGCTGCAGGTGACACCTGCTGGTTTTGTCCCTTCCCCAGTCTTTGACTGGACAGATAAATGAGAAGCAGCAGAGTGATGATCTCATCTTTCTGTCACTTCGCTCTCTCTTCCAGTCAGCATGACCCTTATTGACCCTGCAGTACAGCTGACTGGCTCCTTGTGCTGCTTCTCCTTCTCCATGTTTGTTATACGGAGACTACAGGAGGCCGATACCAAGTCACATTCAGGTACTTACACTAGAAACACATTTAATGATGTCATAATGAACGAGGAGCTGCATTCTTTTGGGTTTAGGGTGAAGAACGGAACAATATTAAAGCTGAGGTTAAAGAGGAAGAAGTGGAGACGTATATTAAAAAGATGTAGCAAATATTTATAAAAATATATATTTATTTATAGAAATACTAAAAACTGTATATAACAAAACATATCCAAACTTTTGTATCAAAAAGTACACATACAAATACGTGGCTGCATTCCGCTAATAATTCTTTGACAATATATTATGGAAAAAACAGTATAGAGACACACCGTGTGAATGCCTTGTATTTCTCAGATGGAAGGAAAAGATCTAGTATTGAGCATATGTACATATACAGGTGAAACTCGAATAATTAGAATATTGTGTAAAAGTTCATTTATTTCTCTAATGCAACTTAAAATGTGAAACTAATATATGAGAGAGACTCATTACATGCAAAGCAAGATAATTCAAGCCGTGATTTGTCATCATTGTGATGATTATGGCTTACAGCTCATGAAAACCCCAAGAACCCCAAATCCACAACCTCAGAAAAGTAGATTATTACATGCAATCAATAAAACAAGGATTGTACATAGAACAATATCGGACCTCTGAAAAGTACAAGCATGCATATGTACTCAGTACTTGGTTTGGGCCCCTTTTGCAGCAATTACTGCCATTACTTTTGCCCGATATTCTAATTATTCGAGTTTCACCTGTGTATATATATATCTTGTTTTATGAGTCTCCACATGGATGGGAAAGAAGGCCCATATTTGTGGAAAGGGAGAAAAAAGATAGAAAAATCTGTGGTCTAAAGAGTCAACATGCATGTGTATGAAAAAATAAACAAAAAGAAACAAAATAATTAAATAATAAGTAAATATCAGAAAAAATGATGAAATGGATTTAGCTCACGCTGGAGTATGTCCTCGTTTTGGAGACTGTAAGAAAATTGCGGAGAAATATGATTTTTTTTATGTCATATTCTTTTTCTCGAAGCATAGGGTGGAAAAGTTCAATAATAGATGATTGTTTCCGTTGTTGCATAAAGTTCAGAATGTGTTTAATTTAAAGTTACAAAATATTACAGGATATGGTATATCTTACAGAATGAGTCTATAAGATGCTTGATGATGACAAAATATAGTATATCTTGCAGCAGAAATCTATAAGATGCTTAAGAAACGTGTCTTTTAGTCATTAAGTAAAAATAGTCCTAACAGGTGTCTGTCTATTCAATGTGAGTGTGGGCGTGTCTGCGTGATGCTGTGCGTGTCTGTGGATCTATAGTGTGAGTGTGTGAGTGTGTGAGTGTGTGAATGTGTGTCTTGAAGGATCATCCCTCATCCTTTTATCCATGCTTTTACTTTAAAATAACCTATGTGATGTTTACCTTAAAAGTCTTTCTGATTAGCATAAGGGAGTGCCATACTCTTAGTAGCTGAGTCATGTGTTCTCCTTCTATCCCATTTTGGGCATAACACTCTATGTCCTGAGTCATGTGTTTTACTCTACAAACTCATTTTAAAGGCCAAGTCTTCTTTAAGAATTCCTAACAACTGTTTCAACTATACTTAGGTCTGCCTGTCAGCTTACTGATTACCAATTGTAACTCAAAATCAGCAGTACAGTAAAAAACTGAATCTCCAAACTTGGATAGATTAAAATATAGACAATCAATCATCATTTAAGGTTCACACATACATATTTCAATATCTGGTTTTATGGTTTTAACAGAGACCAACCTTTGGAGAGGAAGGGTAATATTTCCACTGTTGTAATTGCATCTGGTCAGAAGAAAAACAGGAGATCTAGCTATATCTCGGCTATGTACGCTAGTTGTTATAGACCATTGCCTTAACTGAATTCCTGTATTCGTTCCGTGGGTTTAATTTTCTTTTCCAGAGTGGTTGAAGAAAGAGAAATCCATGATGGAAACAAGGAAGGAAAGCCAGACGACGTCTTATTGGAAAGGTGCAGGGTGACTTGATGTCCTTGTTTCTTTAGTTGAAAAGCCGAGGAGCTCAAAGAAAAGTTGCCGTGAAATATATAACGAAAGCTTAGTGATAGCTATGCAGGTTTCAGGAGATAACACTATCTCGGCTTTTTTGTTCGTTATGAATGTAAGCCTTCCCTGAAATATACGGACATCTTTTTCTCTTCTTTTCTCCACAGAAAACTCTAGACAGACAGGTTCTTGCTCATGTGCCAGATTCAAGTTGCTTGCAAAGAATGTTTCATGTGTCATGTGACCAACAAATGAGGAGGAGATACTGTACACCATATGAAGGTCCATCTCCATTCCTCAGTATAACGTCATGTGACCAACAAATGAGGAGGAGATACTGTACACCATATGAAGGTCCATCCCCCATAGCGGTCATGAATGAACAGTACAATGGTCTCCAGGGGTGTCAGAGGCGTTTTGTCTCTTTTATCTGGTTGGTTTTCATATTTTGGGGTTACAATTGTACCCAATTCCATGCCAGAGCTCTGTGATGACTTCTAGACCAACATACATAACTCTGATTACTGACGTGTGTAATCATTTCTCTCCAGCAGATGGGTGTGATGTCAGGAATACCTCGGAGAGACATCTTATATTATCTGCCGATTGGCACTCAGAAGATAATGTCATCACACAGGATTCTCCAGGAGTGAATCCAAATATACAAAATATACATCACAGACCTCACTGTTTGGAGACATCAATGGATCCCTCTGATCAGGGTGAATCTTCTGATCATTCACATTCTATGACTGGAAATATCCATCTAAGATCTCACACTGCAAGAGATCCATCTAATCCCAAGGAACCTTCCTCACCCCATGAAGGAGATCACAGAGGTGAGGATCTATTCTCATGTTCAGAGTGCGGGAAAACATTCACTAAAAACAAAACCCTTCTTTCACACCAGAGGATTCACATGGGTGAACGTCCTTATTCATGTCCAGAGTGCGGGAAATCATTCATTCAAACAGGAGCCCTTGATAAACACATGATGATTCACACAGGGGAACGCCCTTTTACATGTACTGAATGTGGAAAATCTTTCCCTGAAAAAAAACCCCTAGTCAGACACCAGAAAATTCACACAGGTGAGCGTCCTTATTCATGTTCAGAGTGCGGGAAATCATTCATTCAGAAAGGAGCCCTTGTTATACACCAGAGAAATCACACAGGTGAGCGTCCGTTTTCCTGTTCAGAGTGTGGCAAATGTTTTTCTGAGAAAAGTAGGCTTCTTTCACACCAGAGGATTCACACAGGTGAGCGTCCTTATTCATGTTCAGAGTGCGGGAAAAGTTTCATTCAAACAGGAGCCCTTGATAAACACATGATGATTCACACAGGTGAACGCCCTTTTACATGTACCGAATGTGGAAAATATTTCACTGGGAAAAAAAACCTAGATAACCACCAGAGGATTCACACGGGTGAGCGTCCTTATTCATGCTCGGAGTGCAGGAAATCATTCATTCATAAAGGAAACCTTGTTATACACCAGAGAATTCACACAGGTGAGCGTCCTTATTCATGCTCGGAGTGCAGGAAATCATTCATTTATAAAGGATCCCTTGTTATACACCAGAAAACTCACACTGTTAAACATTCATGTTCAGAGTGCGGGATATCATTCATTCATAGACAAAATCTTGTCATGCACCAGACAAGTCACACAGGTGAACGTTACTTTTCCTGTTCAGAGTGTGAAAAATGTTTTTCTGAGAAACGTAACTTTGTTAGACACCAGAGAATTCACACGGGTGAGCGTCCTTATTCATGTTCAGAGTGCGGGAAATCATTCAGTCAGAAAGGAAACCTTGTTATACACCAGAGAATTCACACAGGTGAGCGTCCTTTTACATGTACAGAGTGCGGGAAATCTTTCATTCAGAAAGGAGACCTTGTTCAGCACTTGAGAGTTCACACAGGTGTACGTCTTTAATCATGTTCAGCAGCGGCCTCAAAGTAGCGGCTCGCGGCACTGAGATCCTCTCGGTCGGAGCGCAGTTCTGAGCTTTGGCCGAAAGAAAGGATTGATTGGTAAGGTCTGCAGCAGACCTCACTAATCGCCACTGGAGCACCAGGGATCGATCTGCCTCCTCCCTGCAAAAAGGTGAGCAGGAGGGGGGCTGTATATTTTATTTTTTATTTCATTTTATACGTGGGTGTGCCATGTGGGCGGGGTTAGTATTTTATATGTGGGGGGGATTTTCTTTTTATATGTGCAGGGGTAGTTTTTTTTAAATAATTCCTTGGGGTGGGGGTTAGTATTTTTATGTGTATTCGGCTCTATTCACACCTGTATTGTTAGGTGCAGTTAGGGATTCCTGCGTCAGGAACTTGCGTTTTCCTGCAGCAGAAATGCCTAATCTGGTGTTTACAAGCGGCAGCTGTCACCCATTCAAGTTAATGATTAGATGACAGCAGCTGCATGTAAACGCCTGCGCACCGCATATAATGGTATGTGATAGGATTACATTCGGTTAGGAATCCATCACTGTCCCTGGACGCAATGAATGTGAATCCAGGGAGAGTGTTTTCTAACCGCATGTAATCATATTCCCCCTGTGTGTGTGTTCTGGAGACTTTTCATCATTGCAGTATAAATCTCCGGAAGAGACCGGATCTGATGAGAGCTACCTATTGTAGCGCTCACCCCCGAAGGAGCCGCTGAGTATGATATAGGTTCTCCTACCTGTTGGTTCCAGCTACCGGTCCCCTTGGATCAGCAACAGCACACCAACACTCATGGACAGAATGGCTCGAGTCTTAGGGTTCTTTTTGGGATATTTATTTGTAAGTTCAGCAGGAGAGAGAGGGTTTAGGATCTGTAGGATGCCCTTGGATTCTGCTTCAGAGGACAGCTTTCTCCACTAGCAACCGCTAAGGCCGATATCACTGTGACTTGGTCCCAGGGACCAATAGTAGTAACGATACTGCGAACAGATACTTTTTGCAGGTTGGGATGTCTGTAGACTGGTTACAGTCCAGGTATCTCTAAATTGAATAGCGACATTTTAGAGGGTGCTACACTATCCTTTCCTAGTACATTCATTCCCGGGGATAGGATTCTCCAGAAGTGAAAGTAACTGTGACGGACCCCATGTACCCCGACTGGGTACCTCCGACAAAGAGCGTCTCCTGCCCGCCAAAACCCCACTCTCAGCCAGCAGATTCGCAGTAACCAGCCCCTAACCCACAATCTTGAGGCAAAACTCGTGTTGAAGGTTCAACATAGAAAGAGCAACTCCTTTATTTAACAAAGGACATTCACTTTAGAGACACAGAGGAAAACAACCCCCCCCCCCCCCCCCCCTACACAGTACAATAGGGTGAGCATCAGATAACGGGTGAGGGGGGGTGGGGAAAGCTGTGCAACTTATATACAACTGACTTAACTTAATTAAGTCTCCATTTTGACTAGACAAACCATGTGGCCAAATCCTTGTCCTCCACCATTTTAAAATGTATATTTCCCAGAGGGCAACAGTCACTGTCTGCATATAAAATTTAAATTTAGCCCCAAAATCTCCTGTTCTCTTGCTGGGCCATAATCTGTGGGGTAAGAGGCCAGCCTGCAGCCCCCTCCAACTAGCACAGTGACGGTGCAGTCCGTCACAGTTGCAATCTGTGGTATAAATCTGTGCCGTGAGCGGCTGGTCAGGGCTGATCTCTCAGATCTGGGCTCTACTCTATGTACTGATCACTTACAGGAAATGTGGCAGAATCTCCGGTGAGAAGAGGAAGTTTCTCTGTTGATGAAGATAGATGATCCATGGAATAGAGTCACCATACAAGAAGGAATTACAGTCATGTCTAATGTGTACATTTACTAGGAATGGGCGTGACCGATATGAAATAAATGAGTCCGGTGTATATAAGAAATCACTATATAACATTATCAGTATTTAGTAGATTTATACATTGTATATGTTGACTTCATATTCATTTTCTGCATCGACTTTAAGTTTGTTTTTCATTCTTTTGCCATAATTATATAAAACAATATTCTGTTGTCTTCCGTTCTTTAAATGGTTTTGGATTTTAGTTATTTCGTATTTTCGCCCATTCGGTTCCGTAAATGTTATTCGGTACGGAACCACACCGTGATACACCGATACTAGTATCGGTGCCGATACGAAGTACTCGCACTTGCCCAAATGCTCCAATACCTTTCCCGACACTGAAACTTCCGTGAAGAGGGAGATTTCCTCCGACCAGCAGTGCTGCGAGGAGACATGGAGCCGGGAAGCTGGCTCCATGCTGATTGGCTGGGAAGCCGGTTTCCCAACAAATCAGTGTCGAGCCGGGCAAACAGATCTGATATGGTCACACGACCCCCACCCTGCAGAGAAATCATTCCCCTAACATAGATCCTCAGCATCAGTCATCACCGTACCAGTCCCTCGGCCAGCTTGGCAGACACCGCTCTCCGGGATCTGCCCACGTCTCCTGTGTGCACAGCGGCCACGTGATCGGCCCTTAGTCTGCTACTGCGCATGCACAGGATTTCTGAATGAGAGAGCTGGGCAGTCTGCGCATGCGCAGTAGCAGGCTGAGGGCCGATCACGTGGGTGAAGTCGTATGGAGATCATGTTTCCCCCTCGGTGCCGTCCATACATGTTACACCTCTGATATAACCCTGTACAGGTATGAATGATGGAAGTGGGTGGAGTTATATGTATGTGAAGTGCCGAATGTAGAAAATTTGCACAAAATGTACGGGAATGGGCAATTCGATTTTTGGGTGGTAGATGTGAGAGAATGCAGAAATAAAGAAGACGGTGGTGGGTTAGTGTAGAATTTCTGGAGTGACCAATCACGCTTCTCTGTCTGGCAATCCAATGGACGTGTCTGAGTTTGGCAGTTGTTCACCCGGACAGTCCGGGTTTGGAATGCTGTGTCCGGGTTTCATGGCAAGAGAAACCTGGACACAAGATGTCAGGCAGACAGAGGCAACCAAAATGAAGATAGGGGCTACTGGCCCCCCACTGAAAATAGTCTCAACTGTGATATTTACATATCAATGGGCGGCAATTTTTATATATGAATAAGCCAGCACTCATTCTTCCAAAAAAATGTCCACGCGTCGATTGAGTGTTCGGGTTTTGCTTGAAGAAAAGGTGGCAGCCCTAGGTCCAACATTCCCATAGACACACTCCTAAACCTTGTGGACGCCTTCCCAGAAGAGTTAAAGCTGTTATAGCGGCAAAGGGCGGAGCCAACTCAATACTGAACCCTACGGACTAAGACTGGGGGGCCATTAACGTTCATGTGAGTGTAAAGACGTCCCAATACTTTTAGTAATATAGTGAATAACGACCTGTGTACAGATGAGGCTAATAATGAGGTCTGGATACCAGGTAAGATGAGGCACGAGGAATGGAGGTTCTACAAAGACTCCGGGGTCCAGGAACCAGAACAGGACTTATTAGGACTCCAAGAAAACAAAAAAGTATCAGTGTAACACATGGTGAGGGACTGCAGGGTCTATGTGAGAAACCCAGATGACCGCTATCCACCGTCCACCATTCCACTCACGTGGCTGAAGAAAGGTCCTCCTACCTGTATTACAGCTTTCCACATTGAGACTAACGCATTGTATTTCATTTCTCAGTTTGTTTTCCTTTATGTAATTGTTACATCTACAGATTAGAAGACCGTAAAATTGTTATTTCTTTGTCTGGATTTTAACGTAAGTTCTGATCTGCGTGTGTCGTTGTGACGTGATCGGGGAACGGACCGCGAGACCTAACGTAGGATATGTGATTTTATATTCAACACGTGGTGATCTCACTTGAAATAGAGATGGGTAGGTCATGAGCGATCCGGCTCTATCGAGCGGTTCCCTCAGAAGAATGAAAGAGCGGTGGCTCAGTAAAAACGAGCGGCGGTTCTTCTGGTCTGTTGTGCTCTGTGGAGTGCGGATGGAATGTAGTAGAAGCAGAGAAGAGCGTGACGGTTCTCGGCGGCTCTTGTAAGCGGCAGCTATATAGTAATATGATCTTAGAGAGCCAGGCTTCTGCCAGCCCCGCCCAGCCCACCCCTGCAACCAATCACTTCTGTGAACTTACAGAGACGGATCTGGAAGAGTCAGACAGACTGTAAAGGGAACAGACAAAGCCACTTTAAAAGAGTGTGAAAATGTGAAACTTATTTTGGTAGTGTAGGCTGTGTAGCTTACCTAAGGGATTTAAACATGTGTATTTTTTCTTGTAAATCATATTTTCAGTGATTATTATTTAAAAATAAAAATAAGTTTGTTTTAATCTGGGAGCAATGGTTTTACTTTTATGTTCTGTTTTTAGTAGGGCTGGTGATGATTAAAATTTTCGTGTTCGATTAATCGAATTTTTTTTTAATCGATTAATCGATTAATTTTGATTAATTATAATGCACATACAGATCCAACTACATTGGCCTATACATATACAGCACAGCAATGAAGTAATAAAATGAACTAGGATCACACTAATCCAGCATGTTATTAATCTCACGTGCCCCACTCAATATGGCCGCCGCTTGAGTGGGGCAACTCAGAATAATAACGTGCTGGATTAGTGTGATCCTAGTTCATTGTATTACTTCATTGCTGTGCTGT